CCCCAAACCTCCCCCCCCCACCCCCGGCTATTCACCCGCCGCCGGCCGCCTCAATGGGGCTGCGGCCGCCCATATGGTGACCACGGCCGCTGAATCCCTGTGTTTAAATGGGGGAGAAAGTTCGGGTTTTAAAACATTTCAAAGTGGTTGAAAGGGTCCCACCAGACCCTGTCACAATTCCCCCCGAGCTTTGAAGGCCGGGGCCATTGTTCGCCGATTATAAATGATATTACTTTAAAGTTGATTTCCCACAATATTTAAAGGATGTAGCGGGAGTGTCGCTATTTATTTTTGGCGTAACTTTTCAAGGGAATTAGCATAAGTAGCCCATGCGTCCCTCGGCCCGTCTCCCCCTTTATGCGACATCAAACCGCCTCGAAAAATATGCTTTGAAAGGAGAGGGAGAGCTAAATTAGGGACCACGACTTCTCTGCCTCGACAGAAACGCGCGTTCCTTTGGCCCACGGCGGCCTGGGGTGCCCGCAGCGCCCCGCAAAGCCACCCGGCCCTGGGACGCATCCCTGCGACCGCCCGAAAGCACAGCACAATGAAACTTTCCCCCTTGTTTAATGACAGAAATTACATTAAAAGTGCTGGAAATGCCCTAATTAAAAATGTACCGCTTAAATGATATGCCAAACGTTCAGCTGCAGAATAGCGTATTTAGCTAGTTAGTGAACTCGCTACTATTTCTTTTAAAATTACATGTTAAAATTTTAAAAGAAATCTTACTTTTCTCTGGTGCAACACATTACAAAGAATGGACAGTCCTTTTATCTAAATATAAAATTCCATTTTCAGCAATTATAGCCTGTTCTTGGTGATGATATAATTACAGCTGTGCTCAGTAATAGGTGTCAAGGCAATGCACACTCATACAATAGTTGAATAAAACTGCAGAACAATGCAGGCACTTCTAAATTCACAACCTTTAAAATGAAATTGACTGTGCAGAATTCAAATAAAAACTGGATAAATATTTTTTAAAAAAGATTACAAGCTTGGTTTGGTTTCTTAATAGCATTTTCTGCAAACCTATCAACATCTAATTGATTAGATAGGAATTACTGATTATAGATAATCTGAAATACTGAACATCACTATTTTAAATATAGCAATAGGTAAATAAATGCGGCAGACAGAGGAGACTGCCATGGCACTTCAGCAGTGATTCATGGAAAGAATCACTTTCAGGGGAAAGTATTTTTATGCGGGTTTTATTCCAGAGGAAAAACAAAATGAAATTAAGACCAGGCGATCGTAATTCCTCATCTCCGATGTTTACGATAACGCTGGAAACTGAAATGTTTCCGTGTTCCCTGTGTCATTAGCACAATGTTGCTTTGATACCCGAGACGTTTTTAAGGGAGGGTGTCAGCAAACATGGCCGAACTTGTTTCCGATCGCGCTATTTCTCTGATAGGGATCTTAAAACAAGGGTACCCACGTTTCACTTTCCGACTCTCGGTCCCGCAGATGGCTGTCCGCAACAGGAGGGAGGAGGGGAAAACACTAACTCCATCAGCTCTAACGGAGAAGATTCAGATGAGGCCCAAATGAGACTCCAGCTGAAAAGAAAGCTGCAGAGAAATAGGACATCCTTTACCCAAGAGCAAATTGAAGCCCTTGAGAAAGGTGAGTGACATTTTCCTACGGCTGAAGCAGCAGAGAAAAGCAAAATGTGCTCTGGATGTATTAAGAGCTGAACATGGCATTCACGTGCCTTACATATATGCATATATTTTAAGTCTGTGGCTCCCTCCATGCTCTTTTATTCATTGAGCTCCAAATATTCATCGATGGCTGCGATATGCACCAAAAAGCTGTTAAATGTTTTCAAAGGGAACTTACTCGGGGCACAGATCATACCGAAACATCGGTGTTATGCCCTGGGCTCCTTTCCCGGGGAATAAATGTCCTCCTGCCGACTGTGCCGTGTCCCCGGCCAGGCCGCGTTGCCGTACGCTGGGGAGGTGAGGGCAGGCAGCCGGGGCTGGCAGCAGCCCTCTGTGCCTGCCTCTATGCTCGCTCCCCATCCCCAGCACTGCTGCTGCCGCCCGGGGCTGGGAGCAGGTGCCCTTTTCCCTTACCAGCCCGGGTGCACCTTGCCTCTGACCCGCTGCGCATCTTTGTTCTTATTTTCCGCTGTTATTTAGCGACGTGCCATTTCGCGTCTCGGTGACAGGGTCAGAGCTGCCTTGGGGACCCCCTCAGCAGAGGCAGAAGCCCTCACTGCTTCTTGAAAGATGCAGCGTTGCACCCAAGCCTGCCTGTCCCCTTGGCGATATTCCCCAGCAGGCAAGGCGTCCTCCTCCCTAGCACGCACACACACACAAAGCTCAGCTTTGCCTTTACAGCGATGTTTCTTAAGAGCATTTAAAGCATAGGCAGCGCAGGAACGACCCTGACTTTACAGTCGGCCACGTTAACTCTTCTGCAACTAAGGCAACACTATTTCCTTCTGCAGAATTTGAGAGGACCCACTATCCCGATGTGTTTGCAAGAGAGAGACTAGCTGCTAAAATAGACCTGCCTGAAGCAAGGATACAGGTACTGAGCTGCTGTGCGGTTATTATTTTCACTATTACTGTTCTAATTCTGCTATTCCTGGCTTCCCGAAGCACAGGGCGGCCCCTGTTTATGATGGGGTATTTGTCCATCTCCTCCTTGAGGAAAATAGCAGTGGGGGTTTGCTTTTGCACGCTGCTTCGCTGTGCTGCGCGCCAGCTTTCCATCAGCCCGGCCTTGAGCTAAGCGGGGGAGGTCCCTGTAAGCTCATTCACGTTTCTCAAACGCTGTGTTTTCAGGTGTGGTTTTCTAACAGAAGGGCCAAGTGGAGAAGGGAAGAGAAGCTGAGGAACCAGCGAAGACAAGCCAGCAACACTCCCAGCCACATTCCCATCAGTAGTAGTTTCAGCACAAGCGTTTACCAGCCGATCCCACAACCGACCACCCCCGGTAATGCCACCAACCCGCTCACTTTCCTCCATCCTCTGGGGAAAATGAGACTCTGAGAGCGTATCGCCAGTCGTAATTGTTAAACTAATGTGTTCATCTGTCTGTCTATTCCATTATAGTTTCCTCTTTCACATCAGGTTCCATGTTGGGCAGAACGGACACGGCGCTCACAAACACGTACAGCGCGCTGCCGCCCATGCCTAGCTTCACCATGGCCAACAACCTGCCTATGCAAGTAAGTCCGGCACCGCCGCCACGGCACCGCGCTGCCTTGGGACTCGGCGGCCCCTGGGGCGTGTGGGAGCGTGGGTGGGGGATCTTTCTCCCCAGGATGGGGGGTTACGGACCCAAATCACACTGCAGGGAAACCGGCACCAAAGGCTTCCCCGGCATCTGTAAAGATGCCCTGTTTGGGAGAATCACGAGGGAAAGGGCCCCATAAGTCCTGGTGCTCAACAAGCCCTTTTCCTGAATTTTAAAAGAGAAAAGTCCTCAAAATTACAAGGCAACAAATCTGGGATGAAAAAACCCTTTATGTCAAATGCCTGTGGTTAACCTATGGAACTCACTGGTGCAGTATTGTGGAAATTGCTGCCTGAATAAGCTGCTGGAGGGATCTGACCTTCTTGGCGTAGGTAATGTGGCGGCGGCGCACTAGGAACACCTGAGAGAGGGAAGGATGTGATTAGCATCAGTGGTTATGCCAGCTAAGCCAGAATTGCAAGAGCTGTCAATCCTCATGCCTGAAAGCATTAGCTGATCACCAGCTGGGTTAGGAAGAAATCTATTCCTTTGGGGTCTGTTTCTATAGACCTTTCAGATGCAAAATTCCTCCTCTTTTAATGGTGGGGTTGGCCTAGGAAGGTGCTGGCCAATTACGGGAGTTTTACAGCTTTGTCTGAGGCACACAGCATTGACCACTGCTGGAGACAGGCGAGCAGATTAGAGAGCCTGACTCCTTCGCTGCGGCAATTACTATGTTACTAATTGCTGAACCAAAATTAACCAAATAAAGTTAGAGTCTCGCAAGTCTGCGGAAAGAAATGACGTCGGCTAGGTCGCTATTTCGTGACGTTGGAGGCCGGCGGCGCCGTTCCCGGCAGCGGGCTGAGAGCAGATGACAAAAGATCAAAGGGCTGATACAGGAGGGAACGCTTGGGAAAGGAGGAGGCCCCCAGTTCACCACTGGGCACTTGGGCAGAGACCTGGCATGTGTGAGCCGCTCTAGAAAGTCCTGCCTATGTGGCCACCACAACGTGATGGCCACGCAACGTCGGAGCGGGAGATTTGGCAGCCGAACCGTCGGCATCTCCCTGCGGATGCGCAGCTTGTTGCGGGTTCTCCCAAAGCACAGTGTGTGTGCGCTTGGCGAGCGCGGCTGTCGGTATTTTCGGAGGCGGCGTGTGTCGGGGGCGCGCAGGCGGACGAAATATGTGCAGACATGTCGAGTCTCGTGTGATGGCAGCGGGAATTACTCATCCCGCTTCCTGCTCCCCCACTGCCTCCCCATGATGGGGCTGCACTGGTCCCCGCTCTCTTGGCACCCTGGAGCGGGACGTGCCCCTGCTTGGTCCCTCCTCGGCACCGTGCCATCCTTCACCCCCTGCCCCCAGCTGCTCTCCCCCCTGACAGATGGGGTTTTAGGGGGTGGTGTTTAGGTAGATGGAGATGTCTGGTCTCCTGGGATGCTGCTGGCATGGATTTGGGGTGACTGAGGCTCTGAAGGGGGATCAACACACATGTATGTGTGCGTTGATCCCCCTTCAGAGCCTCGGTCACCCCAAACCCACACATCGTCTGTGCATATCAGATACAGGAGTAGCCCGCGTGCCTCAGTGGAGTAACTTTGTGTTACACCACTCGTTAGTGGTGTAACGAAACGGCAGGAGGCTTCTTTCTTCTCCGTAAGCACAAACAAGGGCTGTGGTTCCTTGGTTTAGGTATGTAACATCTTCGTTAGCATCTAGGGATCTGCTTGCCAAGCGCATCTGTAAAGGTGCTGGTGACTGTCCATGGTTGTTTCTGTAGACCAAAAACCCCCGGGAAGAGGCTGCTTGGTTGAGCTCCTAAATAGGGCTTTACATCTAGGTGCCCCGATTTGAAACCAAAGCTCATTTTTGCCTGTGCACGCTGCTCCTGAGGGCCAGCACATCCATCCAGAAGAGCGTAACGCCGTGTTTACCTCAGCCGATACTTAACACTGTTTTGTCCTTTGCTTCCATAGCCCCCGGTACCCAGCCAGACCTCCTCCTACTCTTGCATGCTGCCCACCAGTCCATCGGTGAATGGACGGAGCTATGATACATACACCCCTCCTCACATGCAGACACACATGAACAGCCAGCCGATGGGCACCTCTGGCACCACTTCCACAGGTGAGTGGCCCCGTGCTCCCCCCGTCTTTCTGCCAGCGCCGCTTCTGTGCTCCGTCCATCCATTTTTTCCCATGTATTGGCCGGGAGAAGTCTCTCCCTGTCGCTGGAAGAGGTCTCTCTGTTGGGTTTAGTGGCTGTCGAACCGGGCAGAAGATGAAAATGTATAACTTTGTGGGCTAGAACAGAAAGTCTGATTTTTAAGCTGTTGCTGGAGGGGTAGATGAAAGATGGCTGATTAACGGAGGTGGCGTTTGAACAGCAGTACGGTGGAAAGCTCTTCAGTGAGGCCCCCACCCCACAAAACCTTCCCTGTATAATTAAATCCTAAAGTGGCATTTATTTCACCATTAAATTTCAGCAGAGATACTCACACCCGTGAAGTTAAGCACAAGTGAAAGTGCTTGCACGACTGGGTGGGTTTTTACCTTGTCTATGTCAGAGGCCATTTTTTTGCTAAAGATTTGAAGTTATTGAAAAGGCAGGAAACCTGTAGAAATATTAACCTATGCGTAAGAAGGCAAAACAGGGTAAAAAAGGGGTAAGTGTCAGCATAACCAGGAGCAGGCCAGACCCATTTTAAAAGAATAGAAATGTTCAGTGTATTTTGGGCTGAATTCCCAACTGATACAAATGAGCTGAGGCTCTGGCATTTATCTCAAAGCATGACAGTTTATTTATAACAACAAATCAGTGAGATGTGCACAGGTTTTTAAAATATACACCTCCCCCAGCCCCCCCCAACTGATTCAGTAGGCTGGTAGATGTCGAGATTCAATACTTACCACAATACAAGCACAAATCTGTGAAACTGTAAAGCAAAACCTGTGCTATGCATAGAAAAACTAAAATATCCATTTTCCCCCTCAATTTTCAGGTCTCATTTCCCCTGGAGTGTCAGTTCCAGTTCAAGTTCCTGGCAGTGAACCTGATATGTCTCAATACTGGCCAAGATTACAGTAAAACATGTGTTAATTCCGTAAATGACTATATGGACAACAGTTGGATGTTCAGCAGTATTTTATAAAGGAAGAATGGCTCTCAGAGTACTTCTGTACTGCAACTGTGCCCTATGCTGTAACACATGGAAAAGACTTTCACATGGACCTTTGTACACTGAAGGCATTATATCAGTTGGAACAAATCTTCATTTTGGTATCCAAACTTTTATTCATTTTGGTGTATTATTTGTAAATGGGCATTTGTATGTTATAATGAAAAAAAAAAAAGAACAATGTAGACTGGATGGATGTTTGATCTGTGTTGGTCATGAAGTTGTTTTAAAAAAAAAAAAGAAAAGGAAAAAAAAAAAAGAAGCCATGATCAACAAGCTTTGCCACGAATTTAAGAGTTTTATCAAGATATATCGAATACTTCTACCAATCTGTTCATAGATTATGGATTGATGTTCCAAGTTTGTATCATTCCATTGCATATAATTAAACCTGGAACAATACGCACTAGATTTATGTAAGAAAAATATCTGTTGGTATTTCCAAAGGTTGTTAACGGCTGAAGCTATGTGCAAACAGGGGTTAAGAGAGAACTTCGATGAAGAAAAGAGTTTGATAGATAAAAGGTAGATTGTGTCTTCGATATAATCCAATTTGTTTTATGTCGAAATGTAAGTATTTGTCTTCCCTAGAAATCTCCCAGAATGATTTCTATAATAAAGTTAATTTCATTTATATTTGACAAGAATATTCTATAGATGTTTTATACACATTTTCATGCATCATACGTTTCTTTTTGGTCGGCAAGAGTTAATTGTTCTTAGATATAGTTGTACTACTGTTCACAGTCCAATCATTTTTGTGCATCTAGAATTCATTCCTAATCAATTAAAAGTGCTTGCAAGAGTTTTAAACTTAAGTGTTTTGAAGTTGTTCACAACTACATATCAAAATTAACCATTGTTGATTGTAAAAACCATGCCAAAGCCTTTGTATTTCCTTTATTATACTATTTTCTTTTTAACCTTATAGTGTGGTGGTGCAAATTTTGTTACTGTGTTAGGTTAATCTCATTAAGTTTTATTTTGAATTTATTTTCCGTTTGCAAGAAGGAGGGATTCTCAAGAAACGTTTTTTATAGACTTTCAGCACTTCTACCAGCCTGTAATTTGGGCTAACAAAAAGAAGATAGGTTCACGTATCTAATTGCAGCTGAGAGCAGGAGGAGGTTGTTTATTTAGCTCGGGTTTCTGGGGATGCTCTAAATGAACTCCAGAATCCAGCAGAATTTCCAGCGGGGAGTTTGCATCGTGCCAGTCAGTGGCAGAGACGCGATGCACGCCTGTGTCTATCATCAGTTGTAATTATACGTAAAGGACGTATAGACACATATACACACAAATATACATTCCTGACTTCTAAAAATCGTTTTTGTTAAGGATGCTTAAAAAGAAAAAAAAAAACCAACCAACCAAACAGCTGTGTTTTTAACAGGCTCTTTGGGAGAGTGAATACCATCCCTTTATATTGCCACACAGCACAATCTTAGTGTAATTTTCCATTGAACTTGTAACCTGGTTAATACCTCAATGCGCTTTGTGTGAGGGTTGTTAGTGTGGGCGTGGGTGGAGAGCTGCATGTCAAGGAATAATGAGAGAAGACAAATCAACAGGCAACAACAATGTGAGCTGGGACTGGCTAGTGAAAGCTAAAGGCCTTTAGTCACTGGCAGGGAAATCTAAACATTCCCATATCTATGAAGCTGGCTCATTGTGGCGCGGTTGTTACTTGCGATGCTGTGCTGAAAAAGGGATCTCATGATTAAAAAGCCAATGCACGGGGAGCGTTGAGTCAAAGCGCAGGCATCACAAGCAGCCTTTGTAAAGCCAAGATACTATCTCGGCTGGTTGTGTTTTCCTTTCGGCATGTTTGTCGCTGCAGATAACGCTGCACTGCAAACTTGGAGCAGCAGAGTTGTGGTGCTGAGGCAGTGGCGACGCTGCAGACGAGATTAAATGCACGTAAACTCCGAATCCTTTAGGGACAAAGAGCAGCTTCGCTCAAAGCACGGTACGATAGTTAATCAAATCAAGAGCCCAAAGCAAGCAAAACTGTGCAAAAAACATTAGATCGAAATCTTTCTTTTTAATTGATACTGGTCAGTTGTAAGTATATTTGTTATACCAGCATTAAGTAGTTTTAATTACCTGGAAGCCATCCGTTGGCAAATATTAATGAAACATGGATTATTTTTTTTTTAAATGATATATATTTTTATTGGACATGCACATGCACATTGCATATTTATAAGACAGGGATAGATTGCATTAAACACCACAATAGGCAGGTCCCTTCTCGTGCAGCTAAATCGACTCTGGGAACAATTAATTACAGGTACAAACCCAGCATTTATATAGCCATCTAGCGTGTTTATACCTACTGCTGTAGTTTTTGTTACCGAAATGCCAACTTCTGCCCAACCAGGAATGGAAATGAGCTTCCCATCCCTTCCTCCCCTCAGAGCTTTTGTGCCAGGGTGGCTGTTCCTGCAGGTGCGATGCGATATGCAGTCCGCGGCAGCTCCCCATAGACTTTCCCTGTCCTTCCCAGGTTTTCCCACCCTTGCAGCTCCCCCGCCCGCGGTCCAGCCGCTGGTGGACCTCCATCGAGGCATGGCCAGCCCCTTCTGAAGCCTTCTTCATGGCCGGCCGTGCTGCGGGGTCGCAGCCTTTCCCAGCCCCGCGCCTCTGAAGGCACAGCAATGCGATAAAGCAGTTGCGTGCGCGGACGAACCTCCAGCTTATTTCGGCGACAGGCCGCCCAGCCGCGGCGGAGAGGAGATGTTTCTGGCTCACTGGCTTTTTATTGTGCCCCGTGGAAGGAGGTCGGTGGGGGAAAAAAAATCCCCGGCTGGCTGCACAGCGGGAAGAAGCTGAGGGCATTTGGTCCCCAGAGCGTTGGTTGCCTTGAAGAGCTGCTGCCGTGCGTGCCGGGGGCTCTGCGGGTTACGGGCAGCATCGCGCTGCTTGTCGCATCCGCAGTCTTTTCCCCAAGGGTGGGTTGGAGCGTGGGGCTGAGAGTGGAGGGGCTCCCACGCCTGAGCACCGGCGCCAACTCCCGGTTGCTCGCTGGGGGCCAGGCAAGGCCCCCGGAGCACAACCGGCCTCGGAACGCCCCGGCCATCAGGGCAGAGGGTCCCGTGCGGCCGTGTGGGGATGTGCTGCCTCGGCAGGCACCGCTACCAGCCACACCAGAGGGGGACGAACATCTTCATCATGCTCTGAATGGCCTCCGATACCCATTTTCATCCCCTTTCTTCTTCTAGAGCTGTATAACTCAGGAAGACTGAAATCTGCTGTAACGTACTGCTCAGTGTAACACAGGAATTTCCAAGGGTCTCCTCTTTTCACCACTGAAATTAGTGGGAGTTCTGCTATTGATTTCAATAGGAATGAAACATTTCTGTGCACTTGGTTAAAATGTATTTCATAATAACACCTTATACTTTATTTATAAGCCCCTCCTAAGGCATTTCACAAATTATAGTCACACAAGAATTGATGTGTGAGCGCTGTCTTAATAACACTGTATTTTGTATTTCAAATATTGTGTTCTAGATACAATATTTACATTTACAAGTGAAAAGGCTGCTAACCTAACAGTTATTGTTCGGAGCAGACAGATGATGAGCCATACATGCTGATGGCGAAGCAGACATGCATGCGGTGACACACGTGTTGGAATTGCCTCGCCCCGTGCACATACCGGTTTTAATTGTTTTTAAAAGGTAAGCAGGAGTCAGCGTGTGCCCTGCTCCAGAAGGCAGAAAGAGCTGCTTTCTCACCCAGGCTGCAACACAGAAAGGGGATTGCACCACTTCTTTTTAGCCTGGTTTTTATTTATAAAGTGAGCAAAATACCCCCCTAGGCTGCTTTACTTTAGGCAGCCTAACACGGGATTTATCTTTGGGGGCAAGATTACAGTTGCAAAGAACAACATGGGACCGATAACACACATCGCCTGCCCCAGGCTTTCCAGCCATTGGTACTCCTATTTCTTTCACTTTCCATGGTCAACGGTGTCTGGCTTTTTTTTTTTTTTTTTTTTAAATTGATTTATCTGGTATTACTGACTAAAATATATTCTCTTATTTTCTCTGGGTAATATGTGCAGGTTTAGAGTTACGCTACGGTTTAAATTTGTAGGTTTAAATTTATAAACAGCAATAGGAAAACGGAAAATGTATTGTTCTCTTCTTTTTTTTTTTCCCCCCAGTTTGTTTCCATTTGCTCCTGTCCTCAGCTTCAGCAGTTGATCATTGCTCCACGTGCAGCTGATAAGGCTCTTCTGCTCTGGGAATGGTGTAGCATCTTCTTTTAAACTAACTCTTCTTTGACAAGACACCTGCTTGCTTAATGAGCTCCGGCAGCTACCTTTCTAACCAAAAGCGTGATTGGCACCTACAAATACCCAAATACAACCCCCCTCCCCGTTAGAAACAGGCATAGGAAATACAGACGTGAGAGCGGAGTCTGTGATGGCTGTTCGGTCTTGTTCAGGCAGTGAGTATTTACGTGTCGTGTTGTGGACGCGTGTCTCCGGCTGAAGTGTGCAGGGACCCCCGAAACCCCTGCTCTGCATGGTGTGGGAGGGGCAGAAGAAATGTTCCTCCTCTTTGGGTGGAAAACGAAGCACGTCGGGAATATAGCTCCCTTTGGATGACTGCTGGAGGATGATGTTAGGCAAGTCTCCCACATACATTATCTGTTTGGTAGTTCTTAGAGAAAATAGCGGAGGATGGAGCAATCCGCATGAGACGCGTGGTAGTAAAGATAGTAGAGTTTGGATAGGAGCCAGGTTGGCAAGTTCCTCGCTTTAGAACAGATTTTAAATTAATTCCTCCCCTAATATTCTCTTAGATGTAAAGAAAGAAAAAAACCAAAGTATCAGCAGACAGTGACTTGGGGTAGCTCACTCAGCACAGTTTACTATCCTAAGATAGTTTTCCATAGTAATTGTGTGGAAGATGAAGGTGTTTTCATAGGGGCTGCAGAAATGAAACCTCAAAGGAATGAAACCATTTGATCGGGCATTTAACACGTACAGCTGACAACATGTGACAGATTTTCATGAAACCTCCAGCTGCCGGAATCCCTGTTGTTTCTTTCAAAGATGGCCCTTTCGAGAAAAGTCCCCATGAAACCTGCTTTCCCTCAAGTTTCATTGAGAACCTCTGATGACTATGTTCTAACACACTGAGAATTTCAGGGCCGTCTGTTCTATTCCCTTCCTCCCCCACAGTAATATCCGTAGTGAGACAATCTTGAT